GGAGGCGCTGCCGGGGCTGGGCTGGCACTAAAGGGGCTCCGCCGGGGGTGCAGGGGGCTGTTGGGTCCCGGGGGATGCTGTGGGCCGGGCCATGCACCCCCCACACCGTGAGCACCGTGAGGCCGTGGCTGCAGGGGCTCGGTTTGCTCCGTGTGCCCGGGGTCACTCCCATCCCCTTGTGTTTCCCCTCTCCCGGTGCTCTCCATCACCCCTTCCCTCTCCCTTTCCCAGCTCCCATCGCCACCTCCAGCACCATTTTCCAGCTGGGCTTCGAGCGGGCGCTGCGGAAGCAGAACAAGGAGCAGGTTCCCCCCGCCGCAGCCCCCGAGCCGCCGCAGAGGAAGCAGCACACGGGCAAGAGCGGGAAGAAACCATCGGTGAACGACACTGCTGCCAAACCCGGCAAATTCCGCTCGCTGGAGGAAGCCCTGAAAGCCGTGAGTGTTCCCAGCAGGGCCCTGAGTGTGAGTGTGGATCCAGAGCAGCGGGGTTGGTGTTCCCACCAGCATTCCAGCTGCCATAGGTGCTGGAATAGGTTCAGTCTGGCAGTCTGGAGCAGTGCAGAGCACAGGGCTCTGTCCCTCTTCACCCTCATCTCCTGTGGGTCACACGGGAGGAGCTGCCCYGTGCCAGAGACAGGAGACAGAGAGGCAGGAGGCGGCTGGAACGGAATTTCTGGTTCCTGCCCTCACCCACTCCCTGTCTGTGGCTGTGTCTGKGTCTGGGAGGATCCCCAAGGAAGCCTGCTGCTGGCTGGAACCTCTCCCTGTCTCAGTGCTGGGGCCCTGCGAGTCAGTCCTGCAGCTCCTGTGCTGCAGCTGGATCTGCAGAACCTGTCTGTGTCTGTCCCACCYGTCCTGGCCATGTCTGAGCACAGAAGGTTCCAGAACTGGCCCAGACAGGCTCTGTTGGGTGATGTGTCCCGCTCAGCTCCTCCCCTGCCCCAGGGTGTTACACCCCTTCATTCTGGGACCTCCACTGTCCCCTGTACGAGGAATTTTCTTCTGCACTGGGTGGGGGTTCCCTCCATGGTTCCTGTAGTTCTSCACGTGCAGCTGTTGCCCACAGTGACAGTTTGTGTAGAATTGTGTGGGGTTCCCTGGCAGCCAGAGCTGTCCCCATGCTCAGCACTSACTGTGTGGCTGTGTCACATCACTGATGGGGGTTTTGGGGGGTTTCGTTTCCTGCTGTGGCAGCAGCTAGTTTGTGAAGAATTCTCCTTGCAAAGCAGAGCTGAGGCAAAGTGCCCAAGGACACCTGGGAATCCACCTGCAGGGAACACGTTCAGGCTCTCACAGAGTCCAAGCCTTGCAGCAAGTGGCCCCACGTGTAATCTGAGTGTAAAAGCAAGGAATGAGCGTGTCTGGGTGGCACTGGGAGATGGGCAGGAGCTGCTGCTGCTCTCCTGCCTGGCACTGCCAGGTTTTTACCGGGTGGGTTTGGTTGCTCGTGGCTCTTTCTTCCCTGGAGGGCTCTGGGTGTGGCCATTCCAGCCATGGCTGAGATACCTCAGTCTGATCCTTGCCAAACTGCAGCCATGAGGGAGCTCTTGGCAGTGCCAGCCTGTGCCAACGTGTGCTGATGGGCTCACTGGCTGGGACAGATGATCCTCTGGAGCCCTGGCAGCAGGAGATTTTCACATGGGAAAGGCAACATTCTCAGGATGGAGATGGAAGCACTTCCCTCTGTGCCAGAGGAGTCCAGAGTTACCTTTCTCCTTGCCATGTTTTTGCCCAGTTGTGTTTGGTCCATCTCATTCCAGCTGGACCTGGCGGATCTGCAGAAGGAGCTGGACAAGAGCCGCAGTGTTTTCCCTGAGAATCCCTCAGTGTGGGTGAAGGACCTGGCTGGATACCTCAACTACAAACTGCAGGCACCCAGGAGTGACCCCGTGCTGAGCCAGCACCCTCATGGTCTGTGTCCTGCTGCTGGTCAGGAATGGCTGTGCTTCTTTGTTAACAAAACAGGGAGGATTTGCCTGATTCTGGGTTGTTTTCACAACTTTCTTCCCTTGGCCACAAACGTGGTGAAATTGGCCATACATTTGGCAAATTGGAGGCTTCTCCAGTGACCCCTTCTCCTTAGGGATCCATGATCTCTCCSTGCTGCTGTGGAGTTTGGGAATTCACTCATAGGTATCCACCCTATGGGATGGTGGGGCAGGATTGCCCTTTCCTGKGTGATCAGTTGATGCTGCTCACATTGAGCACGTGGCATTTGGGGTGGCAAGGGGAAAGGGAGCAGAGTATTTTCTCCACACCCCAGTCCATCCCACAGCATCAGCATTTAATGGGAAGCCATCCATTAGGGCTGGGTTAGCTGCCTGTGAAGCAGAATCACTGAGGAGGAGGCTGGTACAGGCACTCCCCACACCCACCTCACACCGGGCTGGTTCCTCCCTGTTTGGAAACTGTCCAAAACAGGGTTTCACTGAACTCTGCCCTCTCTCATGCCACCCCAGACTATCCATACTGCCTGGTGAGCAAAGAGCTGAGGAGCATCATCCGATCCCTGCTGGGAAAGGCATCCACTGTGCTGGAGCTCTTCTTTGACCACTGCATCTACACCATGCTGCAGGAGCTGGACAAGGCYCCAGGTGAGCACCAGAGCTCCCTATTCTGCTCCTCCTCTCCTGTTTGGAAGGTGTTTGTAATTCTTCATGGAGGCTGTGGCTGAGCAGGACCCCATTTCTGTTCCAGGGGAATCGCTGCACGGGTACAGGATCTGCATCCAGGCTCTCCTCCTGGACAGACCCCGGATTGCCACGACAAATCTGGGCAAGGTGAGCAGGGCTGAGCTCAGCTTTGTGCTGTTTAAACCTGCTGATGCTGCTCCTCTGGGCCGTGCCCAAAGCCCTGGTACCTCTCTGCCCTGCCCTGCAGAGGGACCAGTGTCCCCAGTGTCCCCAGTGAGTTCTGCCTGCCCTACACAACAGCTCTG